AACCCCACTCGCTCTGTCCCCCCCAGTTCCCGGATGAGACCCTGCGGAGCGGAGAGCTGCTCAACATGATCGTGGCTGTCATCGACTCCTTCCAGGTGGGGACAGCTTCCACCCTAAATCCTGACAGCTCCACCCCAAATCCTGGCAGATTCCACCCCAGATCCTGACAGCTCCACCCCAAATCCCGGCAGATGTGACCCCAAATCCTGACAGCTTCCACCCCAAATCCCGGCAGCTCCACCCCAAATCCCGGCAGATTCCACCCCAAATCCCGGCAGCTTTGACCCCAAATCCCGGCAGCTTTGACCCCAAATCCCGGCAGCTTCGACCCCAAATCCTGGCAGATTCCACCCCAAATCCCGGCAGCTCCACCCCAAATCCCGGCAGATTCCACCCCAAATCCTGAATCCCCTGTTCCCACCGCTCCCGGGATTTGGGGTCGAATCCCCCAAATGATCCTGGGGGGCCTTGGGGCCTTTCCCGATGGATCCCACCCCTGTTCCCATTCCCCCATTCCCCATTCCTGATCCCATTTCCTGTTCCCATTCCCATCCCATTTCCCCCATCCCCATTTCCCATTCCCATTCCCCGTCCCCATTCCCGTTCCCATTTTCCCATTTTCCGTCCCCATTCCCATTCCCATTGCCATTCCCGTTCCCATTTTCCCATTTACATTTCCCATTCCCGTCCCCATTCCCATTCCCATTTCCCGTTCCCATTTCCCCCATTCCCATTCCCGTTCCCATTTTCCCATTCCCATTCCCATTTCCCATTCCCGTTCCCATTTTCCCATTCCCATTTCCCATTCCCATCCCCATTCCCATTCCCATTTCCCATTCCCGTTCCCATTCCCCATTCCCATCCCCATTCCCATTTCCCATTCCCATTTCCCATTTTCCCATTCCCGCAGCTCCAGGAGCTCGTGTGCCACGTGATGATGGGGAACCTCGTCATGTTCCGCAAGGACTCGGTGCTCAACATCCTCAGTGAGTGGGGCTCACCAAACCCCAAATCCTGCCCTAAATCCTGGCCTGAATCCTGCCTGAATCCTGCCCCAATCCTGCCCTAAAACCTGCCCTAAATCCCGGCCTGAATCCGGCCCTAAAACCTGCCCCGAATCCTGCCCTAAAACCTGCCCTAAAACCTGCCCTAAATCCCGGCCTGAATCCCACCCTGAATCCTGCCCTAAAACCTGCCCTAAATCCTGGCCTGAATCCCACCCTGAATCCTGCCCTAAAACCTGCCCTGAATCCTGGCCTGAATCCCACCCTGAATCCTGCCCTAAAACCTGCCCTGAATCCTGGCCTGAATCCTGCCCTAAATCCTGGCCTGAATCCCACCCCGAATCCTGCCCT